TTGGTCATTTATTAGCTAGCCCATGGGCTGATTAGTCAGTCCGCGGGCTGACTAGTTATCTTACGAAGAACTTCAAATGCGCTTGCGTGTTCTGGAATTCTGGAAGGTAGACTGGTACCCTGACATTGGTTAATCTAAAGAGCGCAAGCGATGGGAGATTGACGTATAGTAAGTCACTCCTGTTGATTTCGTTTCAGTGAAGTCAATATGGTTTAAACAACGAAATCCTTATTTTAACACCATATACCAATAAAATGTAAATACAGGTTAAAAACAGTAAGACGTTTGGTGCTGATTTCTTTGGAAAAACTTCCTATATTGAGGTTTTGTAGTTTGCATTTTCAACGGTTTTATAATCTGGTTCGCAGTAATTTAACTGGTTCGCATCTATTCATAAAACGTCTACGCAACGAAGCATAAAATTGGATATTCATTTTACTCAATGTTTAGCACTTCATTTTAAACGCTTTTGAAAAGTATCTTATATGTATTTTACATGTGTATTCAATTCTGCGGCATAAATATTGGATTATATCAGATTTTGAAGCTTTTCTGTTTTTATTGGTTTTACTTTCGTTTTCATTTAAAGCATTTCGATCCCGATGTTAATTATCAAATTGGCCAATATGATTTGTAAAGGCATGCAATGGATAAATCGGGAGAGACACGGCTGGCTTCGCCTGCTACTGTAACATTCTTTTTTAACTCACCTGAGCTGAAAGCTCAAGTGAGTTTTTCTGATCACCCGTTGTCCGTCCGTCCGTCTGTCTAGCTGTCCTCCGTCTGTAAATTTTTCACTTTTTCAACTCCTTCTCAAGAACCACTCGGCTAATATTAACCAAAGTTGATACAAAGCATTCTTGGCTGAAGGGGAGTGTAAACTATTAAAGTGAAAGGCCACCCCCCTTACAAGGGGAGATAATCAAGAAAAGACAAAAATAGGGTGAGGTCATTAAAAAAATCTTAAGAATCACTTGGGTCAGAAAAGCTGAAACTTATACGTGGAAGCATTCAGGAATAGTGTAGAATCTAAATTGTTCAAATCATGACCCCCGGGGGTCGGGTAGGACCACAATAGGGAATCCAAGTTTTACATTTAAATACATAGAAAAAAATCTTTAAAAATCTTCTTCTCAAGAACCTCTGTGTCAGAAAAGCTGAAATTTATGTGGAAGCATTCTGGGGTAGTGTAAATTCTACATTGTTAAAAACATGACCCCCGGGGGCAGGGTGGGGCCACAGTAGGGAATCCAAATTTTACATTGAAATATATAAAAACATCTTTAAAAATCTTCTCAAGAACCACTGTGCCAGAAAAGCTGAAACTTACGTGGAAGCATTCTGAGGTAGTGTAGAAATTAAATTATTAAAATCATGACCCCCAGGGGTAGGTTAGGGCCACAATAAGGAATATAGAAAAAATCTTTAAAAATCTTCTTCTAAAGAACCTCTGGGCCAGAAAAGCTGAAACTTATGTGGAAGCACCCTGTGGAAGTGTAAAATCTAAATTGTTCAAATCATGACCCCCGGGGGTCGGGTGGGGCCACAATAGGGAATCCAAGTTTTACATTGAAATATATAGATAAAATCTTTAATACCTTTTTCTCAAGAACCTCTGGGCCAGAAAAGCTGAGACTTATACGTAGAAGAATCCTTGGGTAGTGTAGAAACATCCAGGTATTGTGTAGAAAATAAATTGTTCAAATCATGATCCCCGGGGGTTGGGTGGGGTTACAATAGGAAATCAAAGTTTTACATTGAAAAATATAGGAAAAATCTTTTAAAAACTTCTTTTCAAGAACCACTGGACTAGAAAAGCTGAAAATCATGTGGAAGCATCCTGGGGTTTGTTCAAATCATGACCCCCTGGGATAGGGTGGGACCACAATAGGTATTACAAGGAGGAAAATCTGTTGAAGAACAGCAGGGCTTAAGTTATTTAGGTGAGCGTTGTGACCCATGGGCCTCTTGTTTATATTGGAATCCTTATTTATTCGTCTGTTTATCATTAAATTAGACTTTAAGGCTGTGGAAATTCAGATTGGCTTGTATTTATATAGTTACGTATAATCATGAGAAGATTGGTATTAAATAAATTTGTAAAAGTGTTTTTATTTATTTCATTTTTAATTTTTACATTATTTCAAATGTCAAGTAGTTTGGTAAAATAAGAAAAGTCGATAGACTAAAATATGAAATAAACGCAAAGTACAGGCTTTAACGAAGCTTATATGTTTACGATGTTACATGCATGATACCTGTATTGAATTTGTGCAGTTAATATTTATTTTTTGTATTCTAAAAGTTACAAGATTATTTTGCAATTGTCATTTATTTATAATCTTAATTAGGGGGTTTAGTATGACTGTTAAGGACAAAGGTGTCGCTCCCTTTGTCTGGGTGTAGTTGACCGAGACATTCTCTACCAGAGAGCACTTTGTAAGTTTCACTAACACACGTTAGTGAAGTCTGCAAAGCTCCTTCTGGAAGAAAATGCCAACGTGAATACTTCAACGCTCTTTTTCCTTAAATAATAATGTAATAATAAAGTTTGAGTAAACGTCTTTGACAAGATTAGAGGGCGGATCCAGAGGGGTGGTGGTCCTGGGGATTCAGACTCATGAAAGTCTTAATATCAACGAATTTGTCAAAAAAGAATTATTTAGAAATTAATTGTAAAACTGGCTACAGAATGTAACGTATTAAAGCAAAAGTAGTGTAAATGGGGTTTTGAAAGCTGCCTAAACGTTTTTGTGGCGAAGACCCCCCCCCCTCTTTCTTTCATAAAATCCTAGATCAGCCTGATGTGAGCGGCTACTCACTTTTCATGGAATTATGCTATATGTGAATTTAAACATAAATGATTAAACTTTTCATTTTTGTATTTAATTCACAAAATAATGCGAGAACCTGCATGCATGGGGTCGTTTTAACCCGAACTCCCATGCTGAAAAACTATCAAGAGGTAAGGATAACTGGCCAAATCGGCTAAAGATGATGCTGGAATCTTTTTTTTTTTTTCTTAAACAAAATTTCGGTTTCTTTTAAACATTTTCATGAAAAAAGAAAAATTCACTCGCTGACTCTCTAAGCTTTTTTTAAATGCTAAACTTGTTAGTAACGTTGGGATGAAACTGCAAATGCACTTGCGTTGATTGGAATTCTGGGAAAAATAGTTAGACGAGTCGTTCTAAAGAATTTGCCAGAAGGCACGCTTCTTCATACACACTCTCTGGTCAGTGACAGATTGACGAGACAGCCTCTATTTTTAGACTGGTCTCTTCTCCGTCGTTCTCGACGACGAAGTAAATTGTTAAAAGTCTTAACTAAGAAAGTTGTCTTGAAGTGTTTGAGACAAAAAACTTCAATGCTGCTCTAGGACGCAAAGTAAGTGGTCTGTATACTTTATAGCTAGAGCAAAACAAGATACTAATAATCCCCCCCCCCCCGGAAAAACTCACTTGCATTATGAATGAGTTTAAAATGTATCTTTATGTACAGTTTTAAAATCGTTTACAGTTTTTCTTTTCAATCGATATCAGGATTTTTCTCATTTCTTCTAAAATAACGTGTTTTTTTATGAAATGAAAACCAGTACAGATCATGATGTCTTCTGAAATCATTTTGCTAAATGTTTATGATTGGACTAGTCCACTTAAGGGGTAACCTGGAAACAAAATATTAAGAATAATCAGCAAATCCATTGTTTTTGTGTTGCCTGCCCATATACATGTACAATGTGTGTTTTTTTAAATGAGATAAAATTTGCAGTTAATAAAAAATCTGAAGCTTAAGAATCAGGTTAAAGAACAAACTTTATTTATTTCCATCGAATTATCACACCCATTCAATAGAACAATCCAAGAAAAAGGCGCGAAGATAATTTACTTGTGACATTTGGCGCAAAATTATTGTGTAACCCCTTTTGTAGAAGACAAATGGACTGATCCAGTAGTTTAAAAACGCAGAAAAAATGTTACACAGACTGTCCGTATAAAGAATCGCGAAGAATAAAAAGGTGCATGCAAAAAAACTGAAAGAAGTAAACACATTATTATTTTGCACCAGTAATATGATTCTTTCTTCTGCAAACTGTATTTGCTTAAATGCAGTAACAAATTCTGATGTAAATCAGCTTGCACAAAATATAGCTCACTAAGTATGACTGCTTAGTTTCGGACCGTGGAAATTTTGTTCCTTATACTGCCTGACGCACGTGGCGTCAGGCAATGACTTAAAAGGGTGGTGGAAGATATGGGGAGGGGGGCTAGATTTCTTGATTTCTTTTGATCTTAAGAAAAAAGTTCACCATCTCCATGCATTATGATACATGAAATTATCTTTCATTCTAGGATTAATTGTTGAGCGTACATTACAGCAATAGATACCTAACAATAAATAGATCAACAATAAATATTAATGTTATTATTGTTTATCATTACAGCTAAATTTAAAAATAAGATTTCTTACTTCATGATAATAAATTTATCTGTTTCAGATAAAGATTTAAAAATCTATTTTATAAAACATGTTTTCAACATAACCTAGAATTTTTTCTTTTTTTTTCTGTTAGAAACGCAAGCATATAATCCACGTATTGCAGTTCTTTTGTAAGGCCAATAACATATCCTGCTTAGAAATGGTAAGAAACTGGGGTTATTTCCTAGTGAAACTATCCTGTATCCCAGTTGAAAAATAATTAAATTCCATTTCTAGCACCAATATGATTTTTCAGTAGAGATCCCATTACTCAGAAAATGTATCAGAAAGATTAGGGTTACAAGGAGAGAAACTCCAATTACAGACACTCCCAGTACGCTAAAAAAAATAATAATTCGGCCGACCTACAAGGTCCACAGAACACTAAAAAAAATATAGATTTAATGCGACTTCTTGACAAAGATCAATATGTATGAAGACATTTTTTTAAAGTATGACTAAGTACAGCTGAAATTGTTACACACCCATGACACCAAGAAAAATTAATGACAAGGAAACTGTTACCTTCCAGATACACTGACATCATCTAATTTATCCAGGTTCTCCATGCTTCTCTTTACTTCCTCTTCTTTGTTCATCAAAGGATTTTTTCTAAAATAAGGAATACAGGTATTATGAATTAAGGCGGAATTACCGAAAGTTTATTGGTTATGTAAATTGTTTTACACTGAGACTTTAAGCATTTTTTCGTGGATGTAAAGCAACTCATATAACATGTATATAATTTGAAGGTCTGCTTGCTCTAAAACATTTTATTAAAAAATTATAGTTTACATGAAACTTTCGTTCCAGTTTATCTAGTTATAGTACTACTATAAATCTCACTAAATCCAACAGGTGTAATTAATGATTTTGTGAAAAGTTCAAACGTTTACCCTTGATTATATGCGTTTTCTAAATATATATGGTTTAAATTTAGAATTTAAAGGTCATTAATCAATTGTTTGTGAGCAAATATATTGAAAACTGTTTATAAATTACTAGTTTTACGACTTGCTTCAATGGTAGTTGAGGTGATGTGTTACATGCCTCCCATGTAGTCACTGTTACTTACGTGGATGAGTAAACGTTACTTCCAGGGAGATATAAGCTTTCCTTTTTTCCATTTCTTCGATCTGAAACAAAATAGAAATTCAAGATATTACAGGGATAGCTACTTTATATTTCATAATTGAAGAGTCCATAGAACTATGTATACCTGTTGTTGGAATATTAGCGGCTTTTAGTTTTGTTTTGTACCTGTAAAATTAAAAAAAATGTTGATTGTAAAGAAAATTATTTTACTTTTGTTACATTCAACAGAATTTATGTTAACTGTATCAAAAATCTTTAATCTACATATTTTTCTCATTGAATTTAGATACACTTGTGAAATTTAATACTATCATATATGTTCCTATAATCTAAAATCAAACTCTTGTTTAAAACTTTGTGTGTGTTTTTGAGATCAGTAAAAGGTTATATTACATTGAATGTCATAAATGATTTGCTTTGTTTTCTAAAGGAATTTAGAATTAGAATTAAAATACAAAATGTTTGTCCATAATTTTATACATTTAATTCATATTTCGTTTTAACTTCTGCTATTTAGATCTCTTTCGCTGAAGACTTTTAGAGGACTCCTACTTTTGTCAGACACGTGACTATTTTAAATTCATTTCTGAATTTTTTTTTCAAGAAAACGTTATTTCAAGAATTAAAATTGGGATTATACCAAAATATTTCCATTATATATGTGTTTTATATTTTCTAAAGAAGTTTCTTTGTCTGTACAGATTAGAGTCATCTTAAAAATAACATCTTTAAACAAACACACAATTCTTTTATTTATCACCGATGGAACTTAAAAGCACATGAAGTTGAAGAGGAAGATATTAAATAAGACATACATATAGAAAGTTCAATACATTTTACTTAGTTTTACGGTTCAAAAGGAATGTACTATTTTGTAATTACGTACCTTGAAGTACTATTGATGAAGAAATATAAAATGACACACAAGATTACACTGAGAAGTACTATAACAGCTATAAAAATGTATCTCTCCTTAATTCTTAGACTAGACTGTTCTGCCGACTTCGTTTGCAGCGACTGAAAGAAAACATAAAATACAATTCTGAAATGAGAATTGAATAGAAAGGCTAAAGTAATAAAACGGTGTTTTAATCATAATTGACGGATTCAGAATAAATACAGATTTTGGGAAAATAATAGTAATTTGTTTCGACTTACATTTATGGACATTATCGAGTATTTAATTCTGGCATTCGAGAGATCGTTACTTTTCTGTCCAGAAACGCCATCTAGCAAACTAGAAACACAAAAAACATAAAAGAAACATCAAAAACAATTACAAAATGTATCCACAAAAACAAACAAAAATCTTTTTATCAACAGGAAAATACTAGTAATACTATATTTAGTTTGCGTTGGTCCAAATCTCATAATATTTAACTACTAACACCTCCTTTTCCTCCTAAAAAGACTATAATACGTTACATATCATTTAAAAATTTTGTTTTGTTTGTTGCTTGACTTGAGTACTTTGGAATACATTTGAATGTAAATATTTAAAATGCTGTATGATTTAAAAAATGAAATATCATCCAGACTAATCCATTCAAAAATACATGTATGTATCTCTTCAGTAGGTAGGATTATGAAGCGATAAACAACATTTCACAAAAACATTAAATATTGTTTTAGATGAGGTTATTTTGCAAAGGTTTTAAAAGAAAAGTGAACTAAACACCAGATAAAATGTGAACGTGTGTGTCGAAAACCAAATAAAAATAATTTAATTAAAACCTACTTAATTACTTCTGTAGCCTCTAAAACTCTGTCTGTGTCCCTGTCAACCACATGAAATTTCAGCAAAGTCCTACGAAAAGCCAACAGAGAAGAACAAAACATTTTAAATAAGGATTTCAGCTTCTCAAAAATAATGCTTTTTACATTGGTAAGATATCACTAGACTAGATGAAATTATAAAATGCAACACAATTTGTAGAAAAAAATCAAGGATAAAAATTATCAAGGAAGGTTATACCTAAGTAAATAGCCCACCTTTGTATCTCATAGCATTCTCATAAATCTGATAAATCACGTGAACTATCAGTATCAATTTTGTTAACTTTTGTTCGAAAAAATGTTAAACCGGACAATAACTCTTTCAACACAAAGAGAGTAGAAATTTTACAGATCAAAGTGATTAGGTTGGGAAAATAGGATAATACTATTCTCAAATAACAAAGTTTCTACACTCACGTAAAGGGGTCTGGTTTCCCTCCTGTCACATAAGCCTCCATTTCATCATAAACAAAGTCATATTCCAGGATGGTTGAATACGTTCTATAATGTCAAAACAGTGACATACTGTAGTTTTGATGGGAAAAAATAAATGATTAAATGTGTTTAACCCTTTTGTCATTATCTATAGATCACTCAATATACACACAGATGAAAGCACTGAATAGGAAAAACATCCTTACTTTAGTACATCGAGTTTTATTTCGTTCAATTGTGGTTTGGTTTTTATAAATTTCATGGCAACCATCTGTGAAACACTGATAATGTACAACTGAAAATAAAATCATAGTAAGATCTCGAAGAATGCTTTTTATAATGTAATGAAGTAAACACATTGTATTTATTTGCTATGAATTCATACCTTGAGATAGGCAGTAGTATTTCCTGAAGAATCATTAGCAAGAAGATTAAGATTAGCTAATCCTTTCATTGTCTCAGGAAAAACAATATTAGTGACTACTGAACCATTAAGATGAACACAAAATGCCATAGAACTATTTTTCTCTAATTTGTTTTCTATTTCTTTCTTTAATGGTCCAGTATAAGTAATGGAAGTTGCATAGAAGTGGTGTTTACGGTTATCAGCTGATACATCCCTGTCAGTGACCTGTTCCTGTAAATGTTAAAAACCTCAATATTACAACTTTCAGTGGAACTGAATTAAAATAAATATCTGCTTAAAATATTTATGAACGTTAATGAAAGATGCAATGACTAGCTTCTGTAACACTTAAAATGGATTCTTTTTATTATGACAATAATTGTTAGGTTTTTTAAATACATCAGAAATGATCTTTTTCCCTTTACTTTTCTTCTGTATAATAGTAGTGTAATTGTATTTCATTAGATAAAAAGAAACTTACCGTAAGGTCAATCACGACTGTACCAAACTTAATGTTACTAAGAATGCCTTTAGATAGGTAGTTATGGGTAAACTTTGGTGGGTTATCGTTCTCATCCTGCACAGCTACTTGGATTTTCATTTTTGTGTCTGGCTTTTCTTTTAGTTTTATATCACACTGCGATGAAAGATTCTCTGGCTTAGTGACGTCTACAGCTTTAACTGTTAACGTGATGATATCAATCTCCTCTCGATCTAAAGATTTAATTGTTCTTACTTCTCCAGTTCTGTTGTCAATTTGGAAGAAATCTGAATGGTCTCCCTCTGTTTGTTAAATTGACAATATCTTTTTTTTTTAATTATGTAATTTTACACATGCTAGACAATTGGGATTCGTATTCGTAAAACTTATTAAAACAATTTAAAAATTAATGTTAGGATATCTGAAGTTCTATCTTCACTTATACAATGACGGAAAGCTCAGAAATTGCTAATTACTTTCGATACTATATTGAATAACTGCCATGGAATCCTTATCAACAGCTCTGACAGTGGTCACTAATGTATTGTTCCTGTTCTCCTTGACCTCTACATTTGTAAAATTTTGGGTAAACTCTGGAGGATTATCATTAACATCTAAAACTTGTATCGTAAAAAATGGTGAGATGGTTGAGCGTGGTGGTTCTCCATGGTCTGTACATATCACGGATATCTATGGGAGACATTTCATCTCTTGTATGTATATTTACGTGCATTTCAAATAGTTTGAGGTATATATACTCTTCAAAAAAAAAACAAAAAAAAAAAAACAAAAAAAACGAAAAAAAAAAAAAAAAAAAAAAAAACGCATATTAGAATTTTAGTGACATTCAGATATTATGAATACTTAGTAGAATGATATATTAATAACAAAGAAATGTGGTAAATAATAGGTCTATCATCAAAACGTCAAAACTGTTCAAGATTTTTTTCATTCATACACAGTTCAAGGTCATTTAAGATCGCCCCCCCCCCCCAACACCAATGAGCCCAAATCGGCATCCCAGTGGACGCAAGTGAGTGTATTCGAAACTGCATAGGAATGCTAACCCACTCTAAATGTAGAGCTTCGGTCAGCTGTTGCAGAGTCTGGGGATGCGATGTTTTTTTTTTGGGGGGGGGGGGGAGGGGATATGCTTATCCATTTTGTGCAATGCATGACCAATGGGGTATAAATCTGGCTGTTTAGATGGTCAAGGCTTAATAGGATGCTGTGACTTTGCACGGATGCACTTGTTAAACAAGTTGTAGGAAGCAGTGTATTGTCAGAATGAAATACGGCACCAGGATGCTGCATTATTAGAAAGACATGAGCAGGTAGGACATCTTTAGAGTATCGTGTCGTCAAAGTCCTTCGAACATGAACCAAATCCGCCCTGCTTGTATACAATACCCCTCTTGTCCACATCATTTCACTACCACCACCAACATTATCAACCTCCCAAATGCAGTTTTCTGCAAAAAAAGATCAATACCAAGGTTATGCACTATGGCTCTTCCATCAGGATTTGCGTCAGAATTTTGGACTCGAAGCTTAACCAAACTGTTCAGCGGTGTTGCTGTGGCCACACTCAGTTGATCTCACACATTTAAAGTTGATATTTGACTGTTTTGGGGTCGGAGCAACGGCATGAATAAGTCCTCCAGCTGTAATTTCAGCAACAAGTAGTCTTTTGCAAACGGACTTGATTGATATTTTGTGCAGTTCAGGAATAGCTAATGCTGCAGACGACGTCATTATGGAACGTTGACGAAGATTATGCAAACCAATGAAGAGATTCTGTGATGATGATGATGATACGCATGGTCTGCTATATTTTTGGCGATCAATTTGTGTAACATGCTGTTTCTGTCTATTTTATATTGATCACAAACCAACAAACAAACGTGCTAAAAACATCAAATTTTAGCATTTTGCAAAAGTAGGTCTTTTTGTCTGTGACTTTCTTAGAATAGCTGTCAAATTGGCAATAGCGATATAAAATCATGAATTTGAATCGATTCATATTCCCTTAAAAAATTGAATGACAATTTTTTAATATTATTCAGCGTATTATTCCAATTATGCGTTTCTTTTCTTTTCTTTTTCTTTTTTTTTTCAAGAGTATACATTAGGTAAAAGCATCATGAAAGATATAAGTAAAATATTCATAAAAAGTTTAAATTATTAAACTTTGAAATAAATGAATTTGTCATGTTGTTCTAAAAAAAAATCTATGCAATGCACAATCTCTTATTAGAAACAAAAATCTTTTTGCACCAAAGTTTTAAATTAATTTAAACAAGCAGATTCTTTTAATAACGTGCTTCCATTTAAATAAGCTTACTAATTAATTAAATGCATATATCGTATGTACATGTTTTCAATTTCTCTTAAAGCAGCTATTTAATTAGATAAGACTTACTGAATACAAAGGTCTAATTTCATGGTCAATGTTCTTCACAAGGGATATCCTTCCAGTTTTATTATTTATATGGAATGATTCAAAATTTTGCCCTGAGGAAGAGTTTGCATAGCGGAACTGGTATGTGATGAAGTGGTTTTCATAATCTTTATCAGCATCCGTTGCATCAATTTCAAATATTGAAGTATTAAATTTTGCACACTGTAAAAAAAAAACGTTGATCAACATGCTTAAGTGGACAAAATTGACTCGTAGTGGCTGAATAAAGTGCAATAGAATGATAATCTCTTACAATTTTAAATTCTCGAGTTTTATCCATACCTTATTTCAAATATTTTTCATATCCCAAGCAAAGCTTTAAATGATTTTTTACACACTTAACGTTATTCATACTATACCTCGTAAACGCTCACAGTATTGTTTGCAGGTAATCGAGTAAAAGCCGGGGAGTGAAGATTTTCATCTAAGATGCGTATTCCTACTAAAAGTGAAGTATTCATGGAAGGAGAACCTTTGTCAGTTGCTATCACTTCAACTGTATAATTTCCAGCCTGATCTTTCAGGCTGTTATTGACATTTATTACACCCGTGTCTGTGTTAATAGCAAACCAATCGTCCGAAACATTTCCTCCATCACCAAGCCTGTACCAAACATTGCTATTAATATCATAATCCTTATCAATGGCTTCCACGACTTTAACTGTGGTTCCTATTGATGTTGTCTCTTTTATTATAACGATAATGTGAGAGTCATTTGTAAAAATTGGTGCATTGTCGTTGACATCCTGTACGTAAACAACTACTTGTGTTGAATTACGCTTCGTTTCCGCTTTGACATTTGGACTGTCCTGTATTGTTATGGTCAGATGGTATATAGAGTGCATTTCTCTGTCAATATCACCTTTTACTAATAAATCACCCTACAAGAAATAGGCAAAACTGAGACAACATTTTTTCCAAACAAAAGTAAAAATTAACTAAATGAACATACGACTTTGAAACAACAAATATTTCAAACAAATCTCAAGCAATTTATTTAGATTTGATTTATTATAACATACCGTGTCTGAGTCTATATCGAAATGTCCTTGGTCGTTCCCTCCTGTGATAGAAAACCTGATTTTCGCATTTTCTCCTATGTCTTCATCATTAGCATAAATTGTTCCAATTTTTGTGGTTACATTGTATGTATCTTCCTCGATATGAAATATGTATGTTTCATTAAGGAAGTAAGGTGTGTTGTCGTTGAAATCCAATATGTTAATACAAAGTTCAGTAGTAGTGTTAAACAATGAATCTGTAGCCCTTATTGTAACGTTCCATTGGTCTTTCACTTCTCGGTCAACCTTTTCAACTTTTTGAACTACACCTACAATTACAGGATTTAAAAAGAAACTGAAGCGAGATATACACTTCTTGTAAAACTATTAATATATACACGGTAATCGCGCATCGATCAACACTATCCCAAGTTTTAATTGATATATCTAAAAAGTATCAGTCAGAATAAATTTACATATTTAACTTTCTGCATCTTTTAAATTCATTCTTTATTGAAATAATACCCGACTTCTGGTCAATAGCAAATGGAGCATTTGTGTCATCTATATAGTATGATATATTTCTATTTTCTTCGTTGATATCCGCATCAGTCGCTTTCATTAAAGTCACATAGGTATCATCGAGGACATTTTCCAGGATCTTTGCAGAATAGATCAAATGAGGAAAAACTGGAGGATTATCATTGATATCAATGATATTTATCGTCAGCTCACCTGAAAGTAAAGGGAAATATAAATGCTAGGCAGATCTTGCCAGATTTTAATTGTTCGTTGTATTATCCTGAATCCATATTACCAAAGATGTAAGACAAATTATACAGAAGTCATTTTTTTCTGAAAAATATTAATTTTCAAACTTATTATTTAAAGGTTTTAAATTAAACTTAAGCCTTTTCAGAGGTTACATACTTTGAATATCAAATATTTGTATGATATAAATCAAGCAAAAGAATCCAAACATACTTGTAGCATTAGGGTTGTTTTTAAGAGTGTTACTGTCGTTGACGGTCACATTAAAGATTAACTTTATCGCTCTTTCTGCATCCAGTTCATCCTCCAAAGCAGACACTTCTCCAGACAACCTGTTTATGGTGACTACGTCCTAAAAATGTTGATCTTTTAATCTTTTATAAAACCAAGAGTAGTTAAGATATATGTTATATTTTCTATTCGCAAGTTTGTTACTTCATAAAACACGTCCAGTCAATTTTACCTAAGAAAATGATGATTTTAATATTTCAATTTATTTGCGGGTAGTATTTTATATCTAATTTACCTTCATCTGTGACACATTTACTGGATTTCCTTCTACATCCGTAGCGCTGATCGGTATAATTGAATAATGTAAACTACTGTTTACGTCTAAATCTATACCAATACAAGTTGTAATATTGTTAACAGTGCTATTCTCATGCACATCAACAGTCTTTGGTAAGTTCTTCCAAGATGGAGGGGTGTCATTTTCGTCTTCCACCGTTACAATCACTGACACACTTCCGGTCCTCTGAGGAACCCCCTTGTCTATAGCAACAACAGTAAGGTTGTAGCCAGGAACGATTTCCCTGTCTAGGTTTGCTCCAATCTGAACAGTTATATTCCCTGAAGTGCCATCAATCGTAAATTGATCGGAACCACCCTTTTCTATAAAGTAGGCTGTTTGATTATTAGGTATCGTTTTGTCGTTGTCCACTGCAGATACAGCTATTACAAAGGCTCCTGTATTTTATAGAATTATATAGCATAGTGTGAAAGATTGAAATAAACTGGAATTTAATAAGAAAATAAATATAATTATACATACCTGTATTTCCCCAATCATACTGAATTGAATGCATCAATATCACATTATTATTTTTTTAAAATAAATTTTAAATAAACATGAAGACTTTATTTCCACAAAATTAAATCTTATAGATATATTTCTTACCACTATTCGAATTTTCCTCTATGGTGCTGTTATATGACTGTAGAAACTCTGGAGTATTGTCGTTAATATCCTGTTATTTTTAGAAAAAATTTAAAAACAGGTGATAAAACCTGTGAATTAAATTGATTAAAGAGAAAATATATATAATCCTTGTTTTGTGGATTATATTTTCAAAATAAATACATGTACCTTAATATCTACCGTCAGTGTGACATTTGTACTTTGAACCGGGGATCCATGGTCTTCTGCAACCAAGATGAGAATGATTTGTCCATTTATAGCCTCTGGTAAATTTTCATAATCTATTGAACCGCTTATTGTTACAGTTCCATTTTCCTCATCCATTGTAAAGTTGTTGTGAAGACCTTGGTTATCGTCGGAAGACACAATCCTATATGATATCTTATTATTGTTGCCAATATCTTTATCAGTAGCCTGGCAAGAAAAGAACAAACTATTTTTATTGCATTGCTTCTAAATACGATTTGTCACAGTCCTTATAATTCTTTCTAAAAATTCTTTATACAGCACAAAAAAGTGCTAATAATAATGCAAATTAGTTTTAATTAAAACAAAATATTAAAGATGCAATGATATTTATGTTGAAAGACAAAACATTTAAAAAGAGATTAATTATATGAAACATAATTCATTTCTGCCATGCAAAGTAATAAACAGATTTTTCCATTTACTCTCAATGAATTATTAAACAACCACTATACGTATGCTAGTCTAGCGAATGTTACAAAAGCATGTTTTTTACGTTAATGTTAATTTCCGATTTACCTCCACTTTGAAAATAGCATTTCCTGTGGAAAAAACTGTCGAATCTTCATCTAGTCCCACTCTGTATGAGCTATCGCGAAAAATTGGTTTATTGTCATTTGTATCAGTTAGATGAACAACAATCGAAACCGAGGCTCTTCGTCCACCGCCATCTTGAGCTTCTGCTGTGAGATAATACATATCTTTCTTTTCCCTGTCCAGACAACTGCTATCACACTCTGTATTTTTACATTCCTCACTGCAGCTTTTATTACAATTGACAAAAATCCGACCAGTGGTACTGTCTATGTCAAAACTGGTAAAATTACAACAAAGAGTAATATTAACATATATTGTGAAATATCCAATTTCTTAAACTAAAGTCTCTCGCTTAGGCAACTTGTTTTTATATTCCTAAAAAAGCAAAATTTACATATGTCGACTCGAAATATCATGAGAGTCGAAATAAAAGACACTAAAGAGTCTGCTACATCCATATATATATATATATATATATATATATATATATATATATATATATATATATATATATATATATATATATATATATATATATATATATATATAAAGCACATTTTACAAAAACTCTTAAACTAACATAACTGCCCTAAGTGAAGAAATATTAATACAGAAAGCACAAAGAAATTCACTTTTATAAGGATACCCAATTCCGCCCCAGCCCGGGGTTGAACTCTTGACCTACGGAATCTGTCTCCCTAGCAGTACAGGAACAGCGCGCTAGACCGCTCGGCTATCTAGGCAAGTCAAAAAACTTGCTTTTGATGCCGATGGAATTCTCGCGGCGCTGTCCTACACTACACGGACATTGAGAATGGAAGTGAGATACAGTTATTGGACATTAGTTTGTGCTTTCTGTATTAATATTTCTTCACTTAGGGCAGTTATGTTAGTTTAAGAGTTGTTGTAAAATGTGCTTTATAAGTAAAAATTGATTTCATTACAACGTGTATTGGTAACGATCCTCTAATAAAACTAATGTCCAATAACTGTATATATATATATGTCTGGATCCTTTTACTGACTATAGACGATAATTACCAACTACATGTACTAACTAAATTATGATAAGAAGGTTGACGTCACATTTCCATCGTTTACTTTTCTTTTTTAAATGATAATATTCTAATATCACTTACATATCTCATATCTTAATGTTTCCTTGAAAAGTTTAACTACTATAATACATGGGAAAATGCTAAAAATAGAAATTAATTGTCCTCCAGAACTCATTAATATTTCCAAGGTTTGATCAATAATTAGATTAGACATCTCTCAGGTGTCTATAGAAAACTCTACCTGTTGCTTCCTTGCAGACGGTATGTTATTTCGGAATATTTCCCAGAATCGGCATCTGTTGCCTGTCAATTAACAAGTCCTTTTGAAGTAAAGCAGGATTGAAAAGCAATGACGTTTAATTGTATACATCTATAAAGTATGTGTTTTCCTCATCACATTTTACACTCCCCAAAGAATAACTTAATTAAATCATTAATAGCAGGTAGTTCAGGTTACTTATTTGTAATCTTCTAATTCATAATATGTTTTAGATATTTTTAGGAAAACGTTATTGAACGTTGAACTCATTGAATATTAATTTTACCAAAATCAACAGACTTGAAACATTTAATTGATTACTTTCATCTGAAAAAGACACTTAGTTATTTATATTTATATTAAATTACTTTGTTGCAAATTCGATCATTCACAGCATTTTAGACCAAATTTTCCTTGAAATACCTTTTATCATTTGTGAAAAATAGCACAGAAATTTTAAAAACAAACAATATGGCATTCGTTACATTGTAATAATATTTCTAATATTTTGAGTTTTTAGAACTTACCTTTATCTCTGTGACTGTTGTGTTGAAACAGCTGTTTTCAGGAACAGAGAAGTTTCCCTTTGTGTTTTTGAAAATAGGATCGTTATCGTTGGTGTCGTTGATTGTAACATGTACGGTACAGACACTGGACATACTTGAATTTCTCTTGTCTTCTGCCTTTATCTTAGTTACGAGTAAAAAAAATATCTATTGATTTGTTACTAGCATCATAGTTCTCGCATTTGTCTTTAAAAATTCCTGGCATAGAATCAGTACTATGTTTCCTCTCACCCCACCCTCAAAGCTTGAATGAATAATAAAATCTCAAATCTGAATTTGAAATAACTATTCATTTTATTATGTGCATAATCCAACAACTCTTCAAAAGGCATTTCAGTCTTTACTGTATTAGTACTGTGTCAGTCTACAACCATCCATTTTGGTATACCGCTCCTGATTTATCTTCGTGATATTTAAATTTCAGTTTGTGTTGTAACCTTTATATCAAATAGTTTTAAATGAAAGTACAGTTTCATAAGATCATAAACATGTGTTATAAATACTACATATTATTATCAAAACCCTGTCCCTCAAAATTCAATGATAAGTTAAATTAACATTCCAGAATATTTTTGCAAAGAAGGTCAAGGTCAATGGATTTTTAACGCTATTTTTTTTTCAAAATATTTTATGACAATATGTGCATATGCTAATTATTATAAAAAACACCTCTTAAATATCAAAAACATTATGTATATCGGCTTTTTGAACTATTTTAAAAGTATGTCAAGTTCAAGGATAAAGAGGGCGGTAACAATGGTTAAGCTACAAAAGCCATAGTGCCAAACAATATAACAATATATGTGCAAAGTTTCAAATCCATACCTCTTACAAATCTTAAGATATAAGGTGTGACAGACGGACAGACACCGGCAAAGTGATCTCTGAGTGTCGCTCTGCTCTGCAGGTGACACAATAAAATTGTATGACACAAATTTCTTAACCTTTTAAGTGATATTACACCAATTTCAAATACTTACTAGTAAATCAATTTTTGAGTATTTTTCATAATCAAACTTGAAGTTATTCGTCAAACGAAGCAGAAAAGTCCCCTCAGAGTACACCAAACTAGGTGAAGCCACAATATCATTGGATTTATTATTACTGTCGTTTTTGTAAACCTGGAGTTTGATATCATCGTTTCCCATCTGCAATTAAAGAAAAAATAATTTATCGTATAAACTGTCTTGCCTAAATCACAATGCCTTACGTAAAATCAATCCATCTGATGTTACATTTAATTACTTTTAATTTGAAGGGATATTTGACAGAAAAACTGTCTAGATTTTGCATTGCATGATAGAAAATTAAATTATAAGTGCACATGTAATAAAATTAAAAGCTCCATAAGTTACACTTGTATAACCTTGGTTAGAACAGTTTATTGTTGTTGTTATTTTTATTATCGACTTTGCCGTTTATAAAGTGTAAACTGTCCCAGCAGTACAGTATAACATGGGAAGCTCTGAAATTCATTCATTACATAGATTGTATATAGAAAACCCGGGCTTTTACAGAGCAACCTCAGTTTGCACTGTAAATGCCCATTTTTGTGCTGTGACGTCACAGTAAATTTTCCAATGGATTCGTTCTTAATGGCATCACAGATATGTATAATTATACATACCGACTTTTAAGATTATTTTCATATTAAATTAAAAGTAAAACAATTTGTTTGGAAACAAATGGTAGGGACGCCCCCTGCATCCCGTTATGGTACGTGTCTGCATGCATTTACACGTGACGATAAAAGTATTGGTAGTTGCTTACGTCGATAGAAATGAATAAGTTTTAGAAAAATCCGTTTAAAAAACTAATTATTTTGTAGATATTTGTAGATAATGGTAAATTGTCCAGATATTTTCCAAATCTTTTGCAGAAATATAGTTTGCATACTTAATCTTTTTTAATTAAAAAATCACATCATATAGAATATACTTTGCATTGATGATTTGATCATTAAAATAAAGAAACATGGAATAAAATTTCTCATTATCCCTTCTTTATTACCTGGTCAATATCTTTAACATAAAGTCCATCCCCAGATATTGTTATAGGGATATCCGTCATGTTTTCTTTTACAGACCCATAATAAGTTGATTGATTAAATATTGGTCCGTTGTCATTCACATCTTCTATGGTAATGGTGAATGGTTTAACTGTCTTTGTCAGATTGCTGGGTTTATTTGTAACCTCTGATGCCTGCAAAAAATTAACAAAGATTTTAACTTATTCTGTGGATAGATGTTGATCATTTATTCTTTTAATATGTGAACTACATACTTACTTTCACATTCACAGTGCAGACTCCACGTAACTGTTTTATAGGTCCATCATCTCTGTCCATTGTCTTGTTAATTGTGATATTACCAGAGTTCCGATCCACAGAAAGAAATTGTGAGCAATTTTTTGTACCTGGGATATCAGCAGATAAATTTACACTTTTTTTTCATTTATGGTGCCATGTACCATACAAGCAGAAATTTCAGAGAGGAATTAATTTGACATTTTTCGGAAGGGTGTTGAGATCGCTAAATTTTAATATCGCTAAAAATTTATTCCGCATTAGAGGTTATCGTCATCTCTTTATGCACCATAAAACCGCTTAAATTAGTTCAAATTAAATACTAATTTTTTTAAGGACAAATGTCTAATTGCGTCTCGCTAAAATTTCTACTTATACGAGATTATAAAAAAATTATTTTGATACAACTTTTTTAAAGAATAAAATGTTTTATTCATGCGAGAAATAATAGTTGCAACTATTGTCAAAAAGTATAACCCGTGTAAGTGGATTCTGCAAAAAAAAAAAATCTGCAATGGTTTGAATCGACTTTCCGCATAAACAAAGACAAACTCTTTCTTATTTGATTAAACAATGTAGTGAGTAAAATGTACTATTTATCTGTTCATTATGGAATGATTCATAGATGGGAGAGCCCTTTGTTAAAGAAATCTTTCTTACAGATGGCATTGAAAAATTATGTCTGACTACTTCACAGTTCATAGATTGTTTAAGAGAAGTGGTTTTCATAAGGAATAAAAGGAGAACATATTCAGTAGATGTTCATATTATGCTATTGTTGAACATTGATGTTTAATAATGCTTTAGAGCAATTTAAGTTGTGTGACTTTTCAATACCTGAAGAAAAACTGTAAGTTATATTATTTGGTATACCAGTGTCACCATCAACAGCGAAAACTCTGAAAATAGTTGTCCCCTTGAAGATAAAAAAAGAAAAGATTATTATCAACTGTTTAAGTGTAATTCTACAGCTTGTGAGGGAGATCTTTTTGACTGAAATGAATTAAACACTTGATTTTGAATTATTATCAATGGACTCTTTCTAAGAATGATAGGCTTGCCCACAAGAAAACATAATTCTCTCAATATAACTTTTAACAAACTTCCTCCTTGGTTGCAATAATGTTGCACATTTTTTGTCCATGGTGATCAAAATTACTTGATTGTTTGAATTTTAAAAGATTTACCACAGAATAGTTTTCTTTAATTGTTGTCATGTATGGTAATCCCTGGAAAATGGGTGGCGTGTCCTGAACATCTAAAATAGTAATCAATAGGTCTGCCGTACTGGTACGTTTAGGGTTGCCGCCATCCTAACGAAAGATACCCATAAAATGTTTATCGTGTTTCAATGAAGTTTCCTTCGTTAACAAATATGACATACCATGTTTCCCTTTACCTCTGGATGGAAGAATTGATTGATTATATGTTGTTTAACGTCCAATTCGAGAAATTTTTTCTCATATTGAAACCATTGGATGGAAGCCAAGACCAATAATAGAAAACGATGAAAATTATACGTAACCGAAAAAATGCATGTAATGACATACAGACACAAAAAAGTATTACATATTTAAAAAACATGTTATTTGAATTCTTTTCGCTCAAAGATTTTTAAACTGAGAAGAAAAAAACATTGGTAGTGTAAACGTATTACATTCAGCGATGAATTCTTTTAGCAACTTTGATGGAAATCAGTTTCCACTAATTCAAATACAAGGCTTAATGACTTGCACATAAAAAACCTAAAAAAGGACATTATAAAAGGCGTTTAATCAGATCTACGCTAACTAACAATTAATTTCTGCCAAATATGTTACACACGGAATAATATATTTTCAGTATGTTTAATATTTTGAGTTTTGTATGTTTGACAATATGTTGGTTCCAAACAGAATATTGGCCTTTTTTGCTGGGTTTACCCATCGCTAAGTTAAAACATACTTCCCTTTTCTATTATATCAAGTATATTGAATGCATATCACTGAATATATACCATGCGCATGGAATAATTTGCATGTGTATGTATAATTGCATACTGTATTGTTGGAGAGCACCTTAAAAATAATTTGTAACTTTTGTAGGAGATGCAAGTTTGAAATGTGTTCTCGGTAAAGATGCAGGGAATACCATATTCTATCGTACTGTTTATCGCGCTTTAGAACACATTATGTCCATTGCAGTCCTCTATGCATTGTTCTTAACAAAAATTATGCGTAAATTTATGCTAAATTCAACATCACAAAAATAAATTCGGCAAACCAAATAAAGTTTGTTAATTCCTTGAAATAAGCTGAGATAAGACCAAAAAAATCCTTTATTGAAGTTATTCAAGCCTACACTAAACTAATTAAATTGTCCATGAGTAATTCAAGTTTTGAAAGCAATGGGTAAATTGGTTTTGGCGATTTCACTTACCTTGGCAATCAGTGTATACTGATAGAATGTTAATCTCTCATAATCAAGGGGTTGATTTAGGGTGACTTGTCCATTCAGTGGATTTATGATGAATGTATTTCCATACAGTGCAGACGCCTTAGAAAATGAGAACGAACATTTCTTTTTCTGTTCTTTTTTTAAAGAAAATCCATTAAGTCAACCAAATTATTGTTGTATTTATTTGCATTACTACGGTTATAAAGAAGAACTCTTTTCATATTTCAAATAAAATGATCATAGCTATAAAAACAGAGGTAAATATTATATTCAAAAATTAATTGATGCCCTCAATGGAATTTAATCATCAAAAAAATCTTTTAAGTTTTTCAATTTGAAATGAAATTTTGGGATAATTCTCAGCAACGTATTTAATTACCTGGCCAGCAGACTGTAAATGACAAAATAGAATGTTAATTATTGTAAATTTAGAAATCACTCAAAATAAGTTGTCTTATTTTATAGCAGACCAACAAATATTTCATTATTAGACTATAGAGATAATAACCTCCATATAATAGGAAACAGATCCTCCGGGTCCGTTATCAGGGTCAGTAGCAGAGATGGAGATATTGATGGGAACAGATAAATTATGATCCTAATTAAAAAAGGATGACATTTAAACGGAAAAGGTTATGTTGTAGCTTATATAATGAATAACTAGGTTATGTTATATACAAGTATCATTAAATCATATGTAATATACTTATATAACAGAATTTACCTCTGGGACTTGGACACGGTACGCTAGTTGTGAGAATTTGGGTGGTTCATCATTTACGTCATTCACAAAAAGGGTTACCTCTAAGGATTGCTACAAAGTTCAAATTCGTTTTCATACACACAATAATCAAAATCTTTCAACAATTGTATTTCTGTGCTAGACCTGTAATTGCGAACAAGATCTTACCGAAGGAGCATCATTTTTGCTGCTAATTGCAATGAATCTTAGCAGATGTTGTGATTGTGTCTGAAAAATAAATTCAATATTTCAGACTTACTGTTGTATGACATCTTTTTCTGTGTAATTTTGGATTAAGAAAATGTTTAAAACATTCAAAACTACCTCTTTCAATAGTAAATATTTAATTAAACAATAAAATACTTCTTTGGTTGTTAGTTCGGGAATTAATGTTGAAGCTGTTGCAGTAAAAATGCATAACCCGGGTTAAGTAATATTTTCTGCAATAGCTGCAACGTTAATTCCTAAACTAACAAACAAAACAAGACATTTTATTGTTTATATTTATATCTATATGAAAAGTAATTTATAGTAGGATTTATGAAATATTGTATTATTGATAAGTACGTCACTGTACGTTTCATTGATGGAACAGCCATGGCTCAAGAAATCCGTAACGGTGTTTGCTGACTGCTAAACGGAAAAGGCTTTCTTAAGAAATAAAGGACATAATATTCAGTGGATGTAAATATGCATTGAATTCTTATTTTTAGATGTTGTCGTTTCTCTAACAGCACATGGCCGTGCCGACAAATTGAATACCTCGCGTTAGCTTTCAATGTTTATATTTACATTCTAATTTTCCCTCTTCATTATAGTTAATTTCCTTATTCTTTTTTCATGAATTTACCTTTCAGAAAAGGTGTGCTTAAAAGAACGTAAGAGCCGTTGTGGCGTGGAAAGTGGGCTGTTTTGACGTGGAAAGTTAAATAACGCAAATATTTCGAGGGGCGAAAATGACAAATTAAATTTAAATGTAATATTGTTATATTTTATGGTAATTAAATAGGGTAGTTGTTTTTTAATTAAATTGAGCCAAAACAATATACATTTTAGTATTTAAGAGATAATGCAAATAGTTTCCACTGTGTATTTTACCGCACAGTGACAGTGTTTCGTGTGTGTTAAATAGGGTATTGAATAATGCAGATTTCAAATGGCTTTATAAAGAAAATTACACCGAATGTAAATATACAATTTTGTAATTGATTTCAATATTTTTTCCAGTTTTTCTTATATAATTTTTGATAACTATTTAATGATTACCACGTATAGTTAAAACAAGTTAAATACTAATCATGGAAAGCAAACACATTAAACTTATCAGGAGTGCCATTCTTCAGATCACAGGATATGCTTGATATTTAGAGAAATGTACAACACATACAAATTTACAACCTCTCTATCTAGCTTCTTTTTCAGAAAAACTCCCCAGGCACCACTTTGTGTTTGATTGATTGTAACGAGGTCACTGGTTTCTCCTGTTGCTCTAACAGTTACAGTTCCACCATTTCTGTCTTGTGCTGTGATATTGAAAAGCTTCGTTCCTGTTGGTTATAATTGAGAAACTTTTATTGGAATTAAAAATTGTCTTTCATATATAGTAGAATAATAATTGAAAGAAATATTCAGAAATCAAAATTCAATTTTTCATATTCAAAACAACTTACTCGATGTAAGTGTTTTACCCAAAAGAGGATGCAAATATTCAGCTTTGAATAGAATTATTTCGAAACAAAGAAAGATATGGTATTTTGAGCCTTCCAAATTCATTTTTATTCTATGTTCCAGGAATAAAATTTTCAGCCACGGATTTGTCATTAGAGTTGGAAGATTGCATCATGGAGGTATTCGTTTAATAAATAAATGAATTTGTACTTTACAATTTCATAAAAACGATTGAATTAATAATGAAGAATTGTCATATCTTCCTTACTCTGTACGGGCACGTATTTTAAATTGCATAATCTCAGGCTTTATAGTTTATATAGTTTCTATTGCACTTAATTAAATAAACAATCTCATTTTCATTACACTTGATGTGTGAGAGAACAATTTGTCTCTTTTATTGGCATAATAGTATCATTCCAGCAAACTATTAAAACTTTACAAAAGCAGCTTTGTTTTTGAATTTATTTTGGTATTGAGGTGTGTTATATGAATTAAATGCGATAAATGTTAAAATTAATGAACAATCAAATCCCAGTTTAGAGCCAATATAAGCAATTAGCAATGATTTCATGACAGATTCTAAATGAAAAGGATTCCTTTTTATTTTACTACATTTTGCTTATTAGATGTACATACCAATATCAATGTTTTCATTCACTTCCTGAATGTTACCCCCTGATTGCATGTGAATTATCGGAGGAAAGTTTGAGGCAAACGTATTACCTGTAAAAATGAAAGTCAGGATGTTATGAATGAATTATGTATAATAAATAATATTCATAAAACTTTTATATTTGTACTCATGGTATTCCCTTTACAATGATTGTAAATTTCATGAAATTAAGTTTTTGAGTTTCCTCTTAAATTATTTCTTATAACCATCTCATTCCGTCTTGCAAGTTAGGCATTGTCAGATAAAGGAAACATTTAGAAATTACCAAAGATTATGAGGAAAGCAGCAAATGGTTTTATATTCAGTTTCTTCATACTGTATCAAATCCGATCACGATTTCCAATGTAAGGCAAACTGACTGTATGAGAAGAATATTTATATATTTACACATATTAAAGTAAATACAGACAAACAAGAATTAGGTAAAATGAAATGTATGTATAAAGGATACCTATATTGTTTGATTTTTAAAGAATTTACTCTCACTAAAATATTAATAGTAGTGAAGGAGAAAATTCAAGAGTACTGTGCATTAATATATTCGAGAAGTGTTGTAAATTAGATGTGGATACTTAAAAATTCCAAGGAACTTTTGGAAAATTTGAAATAACAAGATTTTACCAAAATCAACAGCTTAAAACTTACGACTTTTCAACTTTATACACAACCATTCCCCATGATAAATTAAAGTCCAGGCTTTTTGATATCATTGACAGCTGCTTTTTCGATGAATTTGTCCAAAATGTTAGACGTGAAAAGAACAAAACACTTGCTGTGGCCTTCAACTCGACATTTAGATACAGGCGTCTTGTCAATTAACAATGATTATTTCTATTCTTATGTCGATACGATTTATCCCGGTGAGCCTGAGATAAAAGATACCACAGAGTGTGACACATCTGTTTCATATTTGGATATTTTACTTGAAAAAGACGTTAATGGTAATCTAACAACCAAGCTTTATGATAAACGTGATGACTTTAACTTTTCAATCGTCAACTTCCCTTACTTATGCAGTAATATACCTTCATCACCTGCATACAGGGTTTATATCTCTCAGTTTTTCGATACGCAAGAGCATGCTCTACGTATGTACAATTTCTAAAACGAGGTAAATTACTGACAAACAAGTTGATGAAACAAGAATGTCAGCAGTATCGTTTAAAGTCATCATTTCGTAATTGTTATGGTCGATACAATGACCTTGTCAGCAAATACAATTTATCATTGAGTCAAATGCTGACTGGCGTTTTTCATACTAATTGTTAGGCTATTATTTACACACTGAATTATCGACGGATTTTTCCTTTATTTCCCGATCATGACAAGGAGCACACGGCAGGGGATGCCCACCTCTGATGTTTGGAGGTCCGTGTTTGCTCTGCTCCTATTTTGTAATGTTTAATGGACTTTTGAGCTGAATAATGTTCGTTATCTCCATATATTTCATTCAACGATGTATATGTATATTCGCGATGCATGTCAATCGAATATTCAACATTTCAATTAGTTGGATAGGGCAAATAAAAATCTCACAATTTTAGAAGCTCTGTTTATCTCACACACTTTTAGTTTTTAATAAAACTTTAAGATAACCCTGTAAAACTGTTGATTGAGGTCTACCCAAATCGTTGACAAGTTAATTGATGACGTCGCTCTGGTTACGTTTACATACCGGAAGTTATTTGTAGATACAAAATGTGTAATCTTAGAATGATTGGAAACATATTTTAAAATCTGTTGGATTCATTTCATATATAAACTTTGACTTAAATTTGTAAAAATTAAAATACCTTAAGAATAAGGACCGAGGAATCATGAACATTCCTCTAATTCTGTGTACGACGACAGTGCTAACGCACGAATAGATGTATAATTAGTTATATGCTTGTGTAATGTTAGAAAATATTCCTGAAACTGCCTGTACTTTTTTGCATGGTAAATGGAATCTTGCACCAACAACTTTACTTATTGTCCTGACTTTACCAATGAAAACAATTGGCTGAGTGGGGTATCCGTCATGGGATTTGCCAATAAGCGAGGGATAGTGTCAAAACCGGGCGTGCTGTTGATTCCCTTAGATAAATTTTACTTTCATCTAATTGATAGTATCCATCATTCGAATGAGATAAATTGGAAGATATTAAGGAATAGAATAGATTTTTTTTCAATAAAATAACTGTTTGACCTATTATTATATTTATTTGATTATCAAGTGCATTAACGTCATAACTGTAAATGCAAGAAAAACATTTGTATTTTTAAGGTTCTATATAACATATATTGTAAACATAGTTTACAAAGAGGTATGTGATATTATTTTGGGCGTGAACCTAGTCCTAGGTCCAACGTTTTTCACTGCTTTAAAGATACGTAATTCAAATTAAAGCTGATGTTAAACTTGTAATAAGACATTCACCATTGTTAATTGACATTGGCCAGGTAAAAAGATAGGAGTGTATTTATTCGTAGTCAACAATTCAGCTTTCTTATCAAAATGAGAAGCATGAATTGTATTCTTAGAAAATAAATACAAAACGAAAATTCCTTTGCTTATTTTTTCTTCCATTGATATAATAAGATAACTAAAGCCTTACATGGAAATAGGGATTACAATAAATGCTTAGTACTTTTTTTCTGTCACAATGACTGCAATTTGATATGATGGTTGGTGTCCATGTTCAGTCTAATCAACATGCATCTTTATCTGCACTTATAAAATCTTTTAGAACGGTTCATATCATTAGACCATGAAACTGTTAATAAAGTTACTAGCTAGGGACTTCATACAAAGAAGCAGGTGATGAATGTTTACAGTAGTGTAATATTCATTTGATAATACTTTACTCATTACATAACACACAAAAAGTCTAAAGTTAACATTTAAGACAAAACTTATCTGTGCCTTATTGAATTGTATGTTGAATTATATCCCATTTCTTCTTAATTTATCCATTCTGTACTCCCATATGCACTTCCCTTTTGCACGTAAGTTAATCGATAATATTGATACGGAAATCACGTGACTGATAACAGAAAATTCCTTTAACGGTCACTATTGACAGCCGTCCGCTGGAAGAAAATCAAGTTTTACTCAGAATTTTAGCAAGCTAAAGAAGAATTGAACCTTATCTATTATAAAGACAACGTTATCAAACGCGGGACATTAAAATACGAATAACCTGACAAGAGCGGTAATATTTTCCAAAAGGGGGCGATGAAATCTACCAGCCCACCCGGTAACAGGAGTGATAAGTTATCTAACAGATATGAATGCATGATTTCCCGTAGAGCACAGGTATTTCTCAATTAAAGGAGCTATAATTTTAAAAAGAGATAAAGATATTGCAGCAGTCAGAAATGACATCAGGGAATGATAAAGAAATGACGCCGTTTGTAAATTATTTTTTTTAAAGAGAATTAAAAAATTTATGGTACTTAAACCTTTCCAAACTGAATGAATCAAACTTTGTAATTCTACACAATTATCAACCAATATATATCAATTAGAAAATTATACCAATGTAGGTACATGTGAAATGCAATTGCGTCTTGTAAAAACTGTTTATTAATTAATTTTCAGTACAGAATATGATTGGTAAATGATTCTAATCATGACTAGGTCATTGTTCTTATCAGTTTCATGTGCAAGATAATACAAGACCAACTTTTATTGCAAAACTGAAGTCTTTGTAATTGGAAAGGTAGGATTGATTCATTTATCTATTTGTGCAATCAATTTATCCTCGAACTATTAAAAGTAAGCTAATTATTGGATATTTTTAAATGTAGAGAGCCGGCAATAAGTCTTCCTTATTTACATAGTAATCTTATGTTTATCTTTAGATGTAGATAATATAAAATACGCTTAGTGGTAAACAGTAAAAACCTACAAGTAAATAGTTGTTGATAACTTCACACCTTTTCATATTAGTTTGTCAAATTAAGAACAACAGTTCTCTCTCTCTCTCTCTCTCTCTCTCTCTCTCTCTCTCTCTCTCTCTCTCTCCGAACAGACACAAGTGTTAAAGACATTATTTTAGCATTAATTTTCTGTCCTGTAAATAGTCAATTAAGAAAACTATGACGTCCATATTTAAACTAATTCCGAGAGTCCTGCATTTGATTAAATCCGTATATCTTGTTTCCTTCTGTAGAGTTACACGTTTTCGTGGTGGTTTACACTTCCTGTTCTTATCTAATTCATTGTGAACTATGTACAGCTTGAAAATAAAGACTGACTTGTTTTGAAAAAACTTCAATATATTTTAATATCTATGTATGAAGATAACAAAGTACGTTATTGTCCATCCTCTTTGAAAAAACTGTCCATTCTTAAAAAGTTTTCCAAAAAGAATGGACACTTACATGTGACTTAATGGATTGTTTGGGGGAGTAAGCTCAATATTATGCTATAAAATGGACAACACAAACAAAAGGTTTACGTCACAATCATGTTTTAATAAATGATTATGGTGTCATTATTATTTGAAATTAAACCTCACAATAAACAATAGGTTTTATTTTTTCTAAAATAATTATATTTACAGTCAAACAATTTCTATAACCACTACTTTGTTGTTATTACTATGAATGCCCTTTCGTGCACTATCTACTCCGAACAATGACTGTGTTTCTACAAAGTAGGACTTTAAGAACTTAAAATAGCTATTCTGTTTTCTTAGCCAAATATATTACTGTTAATTTAGCATAAAAAATCTTTATAACCATTACCCACCCACCCACCCACTTTTTGCAGCGTGGTCAAATTCCCAGGATTTTCTTCCGAATTTAATTCTATATGAAAATATTTATTGACTCCCCCCCCCCCCTCTCCATTTTTGTTGCAGCATGGGAAAATCATCATTTGTTAATGTATCTATAAAAATTACTTGTCAAAAAACTTGGGCCCACAACCCCTCAACCCCGAATAGGATTTTTCTCTCTCTTTTTTTTCTGCTTGTCAAAGGTATTTCGAGTTAGTTAATCAAAACAATTAACCCCCCCCCTTTAAAAAAAAAGATGCTACGTTCCTGAATGATTCAGTGAAAAATCAACAACATGTAAATAATTTGGAATACCGCAAATGACTGTATGTAAGTAAACAAGGGCATATGGGGGAATCCAGAGAGTTCTGTTTGTCCGGCATCCCTTTTCTGCGGACAAAAACATACTTCTGAGAAAGTAATCTTATAATATTATAAAGTTACTGAATATGAAGTCTTTAAACCGTATCCAGACCTCCCAAAGATGCTATTACGTACATACACCGTTGCAGTTATGAGACTTTCTTTCAAAAAATAATAATTCAAGCTCATATTTGCATTTTTGAACCTCCTTTACGCCGTAATTCTTAATAATATTTTAGAATCCCGTCTTATTCTTTAGATAATTTACAACTTACATCCAAAAGACATCCAAAAAAAAATTCATTACTTAAATATTGCTAAAAATTTATTTTTGCATAAACTTGTAAAAACTTCCAATCAGGTGTTTATTGATAAAGTATTGTTTATATATCTAAATGTTGAATTGAAGGACACAGCAAGAGACTTCTTTTTTCATGCAGAAGTGTTTTAATAAACCCTTGAATTTTCAAAAATTAAATTCATTTCTTATATTTACATTATTTTTCTGAAGAGTTGCCACAGATTATGCCATTCAACTGTCATTTATAAAGCAAAACAGTTTGCACTATAGTTTTGACGTCAAGTATCGTATTATGACGTAACAATGGAGATATTCATGCTCATCCATGGTAGTTCATGAGAAAATGAACAGTATTTGAATTTGCAAAGAATCTTAAGAAAAAATATTTGGAAATGTAAATATATATATTAAGGTTATTGACTGGTATGAGAGTAACATCCGATTTCTTGGACCTGACGGTGAAAATTTTGCCCGAGGCCGCTATAACTGTTTTGTTATACCCTTCACGTCAGATAGAACACTAAAATTAAAACATTTAAACAGATATATATATATATATATATATATATATATATATATATATATATATATATATATATATATATATATATATATATATATATAATTACTTCATATGGAAATTTTTTGCTTTTTTTGCTTTATCAATAAAATTATGCAATTGCAGAGCATGAAAAAAATTAATCATAAAATTATTATATCACAGAAATTATTCATCACAAGACATACTTTCGAGTGGCTGTTTCTTTCAAATAGCATATGACAACTCTTGCAGCTCTTACCCTCGGCTATTTCCATGTCGCCGATATTTAACGACGACTAATACTTTTGACGTAGCAGTGACGTTGCGGACTAATGGGCTGGTCAACAATAAAAATTCAATGTATTTTACTGAACATGAGAAAAGTTTTTGTTATACCGTTAAAAATTGTTCCTAAATAATTCTATTTTAAAAAATATCCAACATTTCCAATATTTAACTGAGCGGTAATAACAAAATCGATGTTTGACCGCAGTGTGAGATATTGGACCTGTCGATGAAATTGGATCGCTTACGGTACAGTGTGGACGGGGTCATCTATATCTTATTCGCATTCGTTGAAGTTCTACAGAACTGAATTGACTAAGTTACCCAGTGCGAAAAAACGAAATTGACATCATGATATGTCAAAACAAAAAGTAAAAGGTATTGCAAAACATTTATTAACTGTGTTCTAGGGCAAAATGCGTTTCGTAGACCCTTCCTAACGCCTAACGGCTTCATGCAAACAGTTTGGTTCTTGGGTCCGACAAAACGCATGTTGCCCTCGAACCTAGCCAATAAATATTTAATGTTAATTCCAGGTTCAGTATCAACCTTAAGACTGGAGTAATACCGGTGGCATGTAACAGCAGTTGCTTAGACAGGGAAGAACAGAGGGTTTACTAGCTATATGTTGGTTGAAGCAAGAGATGGTGGAGGAAAGGTGTCGTCTGCTCCTGCAAAAATAACACTAATGGATGTAAACGATAACAGTCCGATGTTTTTGCAGCCAAAATATGATTTTGGGATCACGGAAAACTCTTCATTAATATCAGGAATGAATGACTTCACTGTACATGTAGGTCATATGATCAGTAATGTTAGTATATAGACAGTCGGTTTTTAGCTCTACTGGTCAGCGACCAGAAGAGCTTATGCGATAGTAAGGTTCCGTCGTCCGTCCGTCTGTCTGTCCGTCTGTAAACAATTTTTCAAAACGCTACTCCTCCTACAGTTTTGGTCTGATTTTAATATAACTTGGCACATAAGTAAACTACACTAAGATACATAATTCTGTTTATCGGTTTTTGATTTCAATGAACGGTGTTGCCATCGTTAATAAAAATAGAGATTTCTGGGGAAAACATTCAAAACGCTACTCCTCCTTCAGTTTTGGTCTGATTTCAATGTAACGTGGCACACAAGTGGACTACATTAAGATACATTATTCTGTGTATCGGTTTTTTGATTTTGATGAATGGTGTTTTCAGTGTTACTAAAAATAGAAATTTCCTTACAATACTTTCAAAACGCTACTCCTCCTACAGTTTTGATCTGATTTCAGTATAACTTGGCAAACAAGTTGACTACACTAAGATACATAATTCTCTGTAACATTTTTGGATTTCGATGAGCAGCGTTGCCATGGTTTCTTAAAATAGAAATTTTCTTGAAATACTTTCAAAACGCTACTCTTCCTACAGTTTTGATCTGATTTTAGTATAACTTGGCATACAAGAAGACTACACTGAGATACATAATTCTATGGTCGATACAATGACCTTGTCATTAAACACAATTTATCATTGAGTCAAATGCTGACTGACGTTTTTCATACTAATTGTTAGACCAATTGTTAGACACACTGAATTGTCGACGGATTTTTCCGTTATTTTCCGATCATGACAAGGAGCAGACGGCGGGTGTGACCGATCGGCAGGGGATGCTCACTTCTCCATGGCACCTGATCCCAACTTTGATGTTTTGGAGGTCCGCGTTTGCTCTGCTCCAAAATCTGTACTGTTTAATGGACTTTTGAGCTTAAATACTGTTCGTTATGTCCATATATTTCACTTTTATTGTCTTTTGATTTTGTTGAATGATGTTGCCATGGTTACTTAAATCGAAATTTCTGTAAAATTGTTTTAAAAGGCTACTCCTCCTACAGTTTTAGTCTGATTGCAATAAATCTTGCCACAAAAAGAGACTAAACCAAGGATCGTTATTCCGTTTATTGCTGTTGCAAAGTTTCAAGTGCAAGTGCTACTTTTATCTTCCTTTATAAGTACAACCAGTAGAGCTACAGTCTCGTCAGAGACTTCTGGTTTTTCTTCTATAAGTACGGTGATTTCTTAGAAATAGCAATTCTTGATTGTTACAACTCAAAATGTTATGACAACAGATCAATAAATTATTTACCTTTTATCTCTATATTTTACCTCTGGCAACAATACCGATGGAGTGATGCAAATTTAGAGACCTATAGTCGCCACTTAAGACCTTTGATCAGTGAGGGATTCTTTTGTACTGGTCATAATCTATTGCGACACGAAGCTTCGCTTTTTGCAGCCTCATCCAAAGTAGCGGTCTTTAGGTCCCACAGTGGGATTCGAATCCATGAGATAAGGATCAGCTCCTTATTCTCCACGACTCTACAGCAAGCGCTCTAACCACTGCGCCTCGGGGTGGGTGGGGGTTGTTTCAGTGCCTTTCTCTGTCTGAGAATGATGAGTGAACATTTTTATGAAATGCATACAAGAGATTTTAGTGTTTATTTGCATCAGGAAAAGGACAAAAAGAATTTTAGGTTTGTTCTTTACATTTGTCTAGCAAAGTTGCAATGGAATGCCACCATGAACAACTTATACTTCGACAAATACTAGTATCTTGAGTGAACTCTTCAGAAGCTAGAATATTACATAGAAAATGAAAAAAGATGGATCCAAGAATTTTTTACGATGAAGATGATTACTTCTTTCAAATAACAAACCATTGAATTCCAAATTTGAAGCAATGACACACAATTATATAAATTTCCTGCAACTTATGCATATATTTCTTTGAAGATATGTATTTACCTGAATAATCAGAACCGTAAGCTTACTTGCTTTGATTTCTTATAATTTTAGGTAGTTGATTACGATAAATATCGCACAGCTCACAGTTTGATTAACTACACCCTTCTCCCTCGACCAGACACCTTAGATAAACATTTCACCATTAGCAGCACTACTGGGTCTATCCGGATCGTTAACCCTCTGACACGTGACCAGTTATCCTTTATCCCTGATGGAAGACTAGAACTAGATGTTACTGCGTATGACTATAGTTCTCCAACCTTAACTTCAATTGTGTCTATTACAGCTTTTCTACAGGTTCAAAGTTCAATCACTCTCTATGTTTGTTGCATTCTGAATTCATAATATCAAGAAACTAAGTTCAATTATTTACATATTCTGTTTTCAAATATAACGATCACAAGAAACTTGATATATATGTAGTAGAGGTACTTTTATTAAAATTATAAAAGTTGAAATGATTTTAAATGAAATAAAATAAATATTAGATATAAATTAAATAAACTATTAAATATGTTATAAATGCATAAATGATAAGTTTTCTATTAAAGTTTCATTCTGTTCATTCTTTACTAACATGGGTATTTAGTGACATAGCTATACACTCCTTTGGATCCACACCTGTACATATGCTTTTACATGACCACACACCATCTTCGCTAGCCAAAGGTTTCTGATACGCTACTCTTCTCATAAACCCTTGGCATACGGTGCTGACAAAAGACGGGATTGTTTTCATGTGATCATGATTCTAAACAGGTACGCACAGATTGCGTCATCGACAGAAATAAAAAGCGTATTAAATAAATAATGTTTTTTTAGAATAATTAACAAGAAGGTATTGAGTTATGTTGATTTGTTATTTAAACATGTTAAAATGCAAATCTGCATCTTCAGTATTGATTCTTAATCACTTATTTTGTACGTAGCTTAAGATATTGGATGACACCATATAGCTATTCATAGAATGGCATGTTATCTTACGGATCGTTGTTTACTTGCGTTTTTCATTCCCGATATTCAAGAGCCAAGATATATCCCGAACGCAAATATCGTCATTTACAAAAAACAACTGCTGATTGGTCGAACGATGTCGATCAACTCCAATCACAACTTGAGAAAAAAATCCCAACTTTTTTTAACACTGTATGCCAAGGGCTTATGAGGAGAGTAGCGTATCAGAAACCCTTGGCTAGCGAAGATGGACCACACACATATCTATTGGTCAGATTTTGAAATGGATAGATTTCATTGGTTGAAAGTTTGGTCTTTGTGGGGTACTGAGTTTTATTCAGATTTAGCTCAAGATTTCATGGTGTAAGACATACAGTTTAAGCTGCTGATTTAAAATTTATTTGAAGACCTAAGACAGTTCCTGAAAATGTAATTTTTTTTACCTTTTTATGCTTCAAGATATGTTTTCCGTAATATTGCGTTATAAAGGCGGAAAACAGAATATTTTATTTTTAAATGTTAACATATTGAATTATCTGTCTGTATAATCAGATGTAGATAAATCTGATGGAGTATTTCTGTAAATCAATTTGTATATATACTTAGAAATATTTTGATGAGAATATTTTGATAATCAAACTAATTTAAATATATATTGGTTATGAGAAAGGTATTTGTAAAGAACAAATCCTGATTATTTTATTTATTGTACATAGGTAACACGATAAGTAAAGAATATAAATAATTGAAATTGGAGAAACTTCAATTCCATAAATTGGTATGTCTATCTGTATATATATTTTTTTGATTTGTAAGAAGCACAAAAGAAAGATAACTCTTCACAAGACTTTCAAGAGTAATTATGTTTTAAGAGTTAACTCTCTTAGATAGAATATCTTCATTTTTATCATATCGAGTGAAATCGATATTGAATTGCGTCATAAAAATATGCACATTAAGTATATCAATTATCTAATATTCTAATCATAATTTGTTATATTTTTATGATTAGAATATTAGATAATTGATATACTTAATGTACATATTTTTATGACGCAATTTGTATATTGCAAGACATTTTCCATTAATCCATTTTCCATGTTATCCATTATCCATTCTATCATCAACTAGACATGTCATCTTAATAAAAGAATAATTTAAAAGTTACAACTGAGTGTGTTTTCCATCATTGCCGGGAATACCCGCTACATACATCTGAAGCTGCATGTTGATAAACATAAACA